AAGAATAAATAGGGAACTGTACAAGCTACTGCCTGAAAAATTGCCTTCACAGATTGTAAAAAAAATATTTGGTCTTTATAAACATCCTTTCTTGATAGTTTCAGATAAATTCATTGAACATAAAGATAAAATAACAAAAAAATAACAAGAGATCTTTGGAAAAAGAAACTCTTATAAAAATAGGAATCAATATTCTAATTTCTAAGACTAAGGTGATAGTAGACACATAATATCTCCTTGTACGGAATGACTGAAATAAAAAGGGATCTAAATCCCAAGAATAGCATCAGAAAAAAAGAGACCGTAATAGATTTTCTTTTTTTCTTCGTTGTTCAACAGAATTTCTGCAAAGAAACTCTCGAAAAGTTGCAGTACGCTAAACGTTTTAACTACTTTGCGTTTTCGGCGCAGGTTTTTCAGTAAGTCACACATTAAATAAGTTATTTAAATAATCTATAAATTTATCTGAAGAATGTGTGTAAAATAGCAGTCTTATTATAAATATTCTTTCAAATAAAAAAGACATTTAAATACGAACACTTATCTTTCTGTTGCATATATACAGAGTGTACCAAAACTTTTGCGAAAAATCTATAAAGCTAAATTTCTTGTTGAGAGTACATTAAAAATGCCGAAACTACTGTAAAATCCAAAGTTTAAGAAAAAAATACGAAAAACAAAGTATATTGGCGCAATGAAAAAACACCATATCTGACACTACAAATTATAAATATTTAAAAAGGAAGATGATCTAATTGTCCGCCATGTATATCGAGGCAGGCTTGAGCATATCGAGAGATTTCACGTTGCGCCAAAGTGGTGTTAGTCGAATCGCAGTCCCATAGGAAAAAAGTCAACGGTGTAAAATTTGACGGTCATGGTGACCATAGAATTAAAGCCCCACGTCCTTTACAGCAATCGGAGAATGTCATATCCATTCTGTCATGTACATGTCAAATACAGCCAAGAAATGCACTGATGTCCCATAATAAACAACCATGCATTATGATTCACTCATCATCATTTAGCATATTTTTCTCGTAAACTTTGGATCGTACAGCTCCAGTTCTTAGGGCATTTTCCATGCATTCTGAAAGGGGAATCTGGCCTGGTCATTCAGAGTTTGGGTGCTGTTTTTGGAACACCCTGTACATGTATGTGCATAATGAGTCTATAGAGTTGAGCAGTATCATATTCACGAAAAAATAAGGTATACATGATTTGCCAATCTCTACACAGATAAAAAAAAACTCGAGAAATCTGAAATTACTTACGTGCTAATCATAATCACTTTAAGAAGTGATGAAAATCACTTTTCAAAAGAAAATTACTTCCATTGTTTGGTGTATCCAGAGAAAAATGAATTTCACGAATAAAGTCCAGATTGGGCGGAAGATGGAAGAATTAGAAATGCGGTTTCTTAATACGAAAACGAAATTATTGCATCGGTAATCCAAGTGCACTAATTTTGATTATACTTATTTAAACATGTATTAATTGTCTTTTTAAATGGTTAAGCTAAATAAAAATGTCCTTACTCTTAGGTGTATGTGACGTAATTTAGTACGTAATCGAATGGTATGGACCTTTTGGTACTGGTTTAGTTATATGTTTGCGTCTGTGAAACATTGTGTCGACTTGTGCCTCACCAAACTGAAGGAGCATGCAGTTGAAAAATAGTTTTCAATAGAAATCGCCTCAGTTCCTTCACACGTGGGCTGCTTGCACTGCCTGCTGTGCCACTTCCTCAAGAGTTTAAAAATCTCTTTTTCTCCTTCTCACTAATAAACTCTACAACCGGGAAGAAAAAATTGAGCTCTTCGATTGCTAAAATCAGTGGCATAGCAGAGAATGCCAGTTGACCTGGAGTAAGTGGACGGAGGTGTTTATTCAAAATTAGCTCCCGGCTTTCTCCTGTTTCGACTAGGCGCAGAACATGTCAACTCTTACGAACGATCAGGAAATGATTAGACTGGCACCAAGCTACCCAAGAAACCTGTCCAAATAGTTGGAACTTAGTGTCTTTGATAGTGGATTTTAGTGCACTGCCATCTTTGTAGAAAATCAATTTAGGAAATTTTAGGCATTTTTTAGATACCAAAAGCAACCGTGAATGATATAATTATAAAGTGTAAACGTCGAATCCATGAAGCTATTAAAAACGTAGTAGTTTAAAAGTGAGTTAAAGTTTAAAAAATTAAAATACATTAATGGACAAAAAAAATTAGCGCACCAAGAAGGAGACGTGAAAAAAACGAAACTTAACATACGCAATGGCTACTTTGATCCAATCAAATTATTAGAAAATTAAAGAAAAATTATCATTTATTTCAGAGAAAAAATATAAAAAACGCAGGATTTAATACTCTGTTGAACCTCCTATAGCCCTAATGCACGCTACGATACGATCGGACATTGAGGCATTCAAGTTCTGTATGATGTCTTGGGACATTTCGTTCCATATATGCTGTAACCTTTCCTGTTGTTCGTTCAAACTGTGAGATACCCAACTCGCTGTCCCAAATAATCCCAGATATGTGCGATTGAAAACAAATGTGGGAATCAGGCAGGCCATGGAAGGGTAGTAACAGTGCGAAGACAGTCTTGTGAGGCCCTTTTCGTGTATCCAAGCATTGTATTGTTGAAAAATAGGTCCTAGAAAATGTTACATGAGTGGCAACACATGTGGTTGCAGGATGTCATGAACATACCGCTGGGCCGTCATGGTGCCACGGATCATTACTATGGGTGCCCATGTATTTTAGGCAAAGACACCCCATACCATTACACCAGCTGTGGAAGCTGTATGTCGCTGTATAGCAAAGGCAGGATTTAGGCGTTCACCACGAGGCATCCACACACGAACATGATTGTCATCATTGCTGAGATTGAATCTGGATTCGTCACTAAAGACGACCTACTTCTATTCCGCTGCAGGCCAGTTTCCTCGTGCGAGGAACCGTTCCAAACGGAGGCGTTGATAAGTGGGCGTCAAGGGCAGCACACGTAACGGGTGATCTGATCCTATATGCTCTTCAGCCGGGCACATTCGTATGGTTCGAGAAGACACAGGAGCCCCTATTGAAGGTGCTACTTGTGCCTGGATGGCGGCCGATGAAGCAGTGGCTTTACGCGTGCATTTAGTACGATGTGGCGGTCTTCTCTACGACTGGTCTGTTGAGGGTGTCCTGAGACTGATCTTCGTGTAAATGATATCTTTTGGATCCACTGGTCCCGAAAACTCCTCACAATGCAATCAGAGATGTCTAATTAACCAGCTACTCACCTAGCTGACCACTCAGATTCCACCATGCAAATAATTCGCCACCTCTCAAACTGCGACCGCTGCTCATGTAACCTTCGTAAACGGCGTAATGACATGTCTACCTCAGCTCTTGCTTTATAAACGATTCAACCCACTCAAACAAGCTTTGGTTACCTCTTTTATACTCCACAAAGAACGACGTTAAACGCCCTCTACAAGCTATACGTAATTTGCAATCAACCTGAATTCCTAATATTTTGCATATCTCCTCTACATGTACCTTCATGCCAAGTTTCGTTACGATCACGCAATTGCTTCTTGGTGCGCAAATTCTTTTGTTCATGAGTGTATTTTTTAAAAACTGGCTTTTCAATTTTTTTTCCTGAAATTCAAGGATTTCTAAAAAGAAAATCTTTTTTTTTTGTTGAAAAAAAAATGACGTTTTTCTTTTTAATGCAATTGGAAGTAGACTAGCATTTATTTTCTCAAAATCTTTAGAGTAGATCAACTTCCTAAGAAGCTCATTTACAAAGAAATGAAATAATAATATATTTTAAAATAATTATAAATCCATTTTACACTATTCTTGTTACCGGCTCAGTGGCCTGAAAATAAAAAAATAAGTTGTATCTGTATGCTGTCAACTGCAAAATAAAACAGACAAAGGCAACTCTTGAGAAGTAAAACTCTTCTACAACTTCAAATACGCGCGGTAGTGATTTCTTAACAAACCATTCAAAAAACTTCTTTCATTAAGAGCTGTGATAAGTGGCATACATAATGGAAAAAGACAGAATCATTAACTCCTTATAAGCAATACCGTTACGAGTCCTGATTTCTTCTCTTTTGTTTCATGCGTAAACGCTCAGAGCCATTTTTTAAAATCAATTTATTTGCCTATTTTAAGTGTTTCTATCGAAATGCTCTGCCTCGTTGAATTCAGATTCTTAAGGTTAATTTTGCGTTGAATGTGTATTTATGTGTCGACGATGCATATCCGCATGTGCTTCATGAAACCCATGTTTGCGGAACTGGATTTATTTATAAATGTTTTGGAGAAATGACATGAGACAATTTTACATTGCTCAGAATTTTTTTTATATTTTTCAATTCCTACTATTTGTTCACTCTCTCTCCATATATATATATATACCATTTACAAAACCATAAATATTGATATAAAGTTTTATAGAAAATAAAAACATTCAAGACATAAACAAGAATATTTAAGTAAAATATAATATTATTAATTTATAAAACATGGGGCGCCATCTGATTAATAACTGTATAACTAATTAAAAATTCTATTTTTATTATTATTGTCCTTTCACTGAGAATTTTTAGAAATATAACTGTAAAGAAAGTTAGTAGGATTTCCATGTTCAATATACATTGTTTAATATAGTTATTAAACTTTAAAATTATATTAGATTTATCACTAACTAATACATTTTTTTACGATAAATATAGTTAAAAATAACATTTTATACACACACACACACACACACATATATATATATATATAGTTCAAATTTTCAATGTTTAAAAAAATACTTTCAATTCATCCATTCAAGTTCAAATACATTTTTCTTAAACGTGTAGTTAATGAAACTTGATGTCAATACAGGTTTTTCAAATATAAATTTATTAATTAAATTAAAGAGTGAACAAATAGTAAAACAATCAAAAATAATAGTCCAACAGCATACATAGGAAAGAAAAGTGTTGAATGTTCATCCCTGTTGCTCGATGCATAGCGCGTTTGAACTCTAATTAAAAGGTCGTGTGTTCGAATCCCACCTGGGATGGCCTAATTTCTGAGAATGTGCTTTCTTTTTTCCTCTTCTATTTTATTACAATATTTAAATTTTATTAATGAATAAATAGAAACAAGAAAAAAAAAGGCCAACACCATATATAGAAAGAAAAATCGCTTTCAGTTTTGTTGTTTGTATATAAATATTTTGATTCTGTCATGTCTATATAAATATTTTTATTAACTGTCACTATTTCGTAAAAAGTAAGAGAAATAATTTTATTTTGTTGTTGACCTAAGTAGGAATTGACTGTTTTATATTATTTGTTCATATTCTGATTATTAGAATTAAAACTTAAAAAAAATAACTTTTGATTCTAGAAGAAATTACAATGATAATTTTTCCTGTATATATATATATATATATATATATATATATATATATATATATAGAAATATTTCTTAAAAATATTTCTTAAAAATATTTTTAAACTCGTAAATGCACAAATCCACCACACAACATTAGGTCCACAAAGTCAGCTTGTTAGTGGTCCAGCTGTGAAGAATTTGTGCATTCCACACACACAGGTTACATTTTAATATACATTTTAATACACACACGCTTAAAACAATATTTACACGACTATATAAACACTTTAAAATTATTTATTATTAGTTAAACATTTATGTCCTAACAGACATTTATGACCAATCAATCAAGCAAGTCTTTTACATGTGATATGGTTTGCATCTAATGCCAAGTAGTCATACTCTAGTGTTGGATCAAGAATCGATTGGATTGACATGGTTAGATGTTATGAGCAAAATATGATGTGTAATTGATATATTAAAAATAAAAAGTCGTGCTATAAGAAATGGATCATATTCTTGATGGGATACTGTTTGGTGAGTCTTTAATGATCTACTCTATTCATTTGTGAATATACTGTATTTTTAATGATTTACTCTATTCATTTGTGAATATACTGTGTTTTTAATGTGAACATTCGGTTTTTAGAAATTTTTAGTTTGAACTTTCGGATTTTTTTTAGCTTGATTTTTAGATTACGGATTTTTTAGCTTGAACTTTCAGAATTTTTTAGATTGAACTTTCAGATTTTTTAACTTGAACAGATTTTTTTTCAGATTTTTTTTTAACTTGAACTTTCAGATTTTTTTAACTTGAACTTTCAGATTTTTTTAACTGGAACTTTCAGATTTTTTTAACTGGAACTTTCAGATTTTTTAACTGGAACTTTCAGATTTTTTTAACTGGAACTTTTTTTTAACTGGAACTTTCAGATTTTTTTAACTGGAACTTTCAGATTTTTTTAACTGGAACTTTCAGATTTTTTAACTGGAACTTTCAGATTTTTTTAACTGGAACTTTCAGATTTTTTAACTGGAACTTTCAGATTTTTTTAACTGGAACTTTCAGATTTTTTCAACTGGAACTTTCAGATTTTTTCAACTGGAACTTTTTGATTTTAGATAATTTTTGATTTGAACTTTCGGATCTCAAATATTTTTTGATTTGAACTTTTGGATCAGGAATTTATTTTTTCTACCTTTACAACTATTTTAAAGATGGGTGCATCATCTTGGGAGTCTGAAGGTTCACTTATATTATGCACTAAATTGTTTTTAAATTTTAACATTGCAATATCTTTCGGAATGTGATGGCGAATAGTTTTATTTTTTAAGTATAATGATTTAATTTTAACTTTTTAATTTTTAATTTTTTAATTTTTTTCTTCTGAAATTTGAAAATTTTCCAATTAACTTACCAAGTTGCAATAGGGGGAAGGTTGGCGCCATCAAACTAGTTTAACCCCACTTATCGGTCCTAAGTCCGAGATTGCACTTGGATATTTTATAAATTTTATTTTATTTTATAATTTTTAATTTTGTTTGAAAATGATGGAACATTATCTTTTATATTCGCCATTGATATTCTGAAGTGTTTTGGTATTTTAGGATTCATATATTTCAATTTTTAAATTGATAATTGTGATTGTTTTTAAATATTTAAATATATATATATATATATATATATATATATATATATATATATATATATATATATGTATCATATTTTTCAAAAAAATGCTTGAAAATAAGCGAATTGTTTAAAGAAATGGTTTTCTTATGAAGCTCACAATAACTTATTTTTATAAACTTTCGAACAAAGCTTTGAGTTCCTCAATTAAGAGTTAATATTTTTTTTTCTTTTCTCGAAATTTAATCAATCTCTGAATTATTTTTATGTAGAATTGATAAGTATTTTATAGAATGTTTAAGAAGATTTCGGAAACTTAAAAATACTATATTTAATAAATTTTAGTATTTAACAAATTACAATTATTAACTTTTATTAAAAACAAATTATTAATCTTTAGAATCATACATTCATTTCAATATGATGTAGATTTTTTCTTGTTCGAAACTAGCCAACTGTTTTTCGTACATTATTTTACGCAGATTGTTTTCTCTCGTTTCTTAAAGAATTGTATTTCTATAATACTTTATTCAGTTTTTATCTTTACGTGTAACTGCATGAGTAAATTTTAAAATTTTCGCAATAAAATAGGAGAATCTGGAAGAAAATTTTTTATAGATTTTTAAAATTTATAATGTTCTTAGAACAGGCCGAGTTTTTATTGCTTGCAACGTCTCAGAAATTATCTCCCAAAAAAAGGTGTTTTCTTAATATAATTTCTCAGACGCTTTCATCATTCATTAATATGACTCAAATATAATTTTTTTTCAGAAAGTTTTAATCTAAAGTAATTTTAGTGATATTTAATTGCTGTGAATAGAGTTTTCAATACTACAGAAAAAATAGGTGAAAGAAAAATAGAATAAAATTACTCAAAAGTCACATTATACACATATATATATAGTTAGTTTTTGTCATCTCTTTCTCGAAGGGAACAAATAAAAGTTACCAGAGCCGGAGACAGGTTGGAGTTTTACACAAAAGATAGCAACACCACCTATATCATCCCCTTCACAATTTAGGCAGGGAGCTGGAGAGAAGGGAAATATTCTCCAGCCCCCTGCATCCGTGGTTTATGCTGCGACCACCCACAAGACCATCGGACCCTCTGATTTAACGAGCAGGTATTCCATGTATTTGTTGGCATGGAGCATCGAAGCCAGGCCTTCTGGTCTGAAGTCTGACGTTCTAAGCACTTGACTACTCACAGTTCATCGTGTTACTTCTGGACTTCTTTGAAATATTTCAAATTAAGGGTCAACAACGTCCCTCTTAAGTTTTCCGGTTCTAAAAATATTTAATCGTGCTAATTCTATTTCAAGGTAAATGTTTCATTCATTGATAAATATACCAGTTTAAGATCATGGAATGTAAAATAATTTGGGATCTTTATAACATATAAAATAAATTTCTGTATAATATCTGGAAAAAACTGCACTGCGCTTTTAAGTTGATATTTTAGAATCCGTTGTTTTTACGCGAGTTTTCTCTCTAATCAGTATATAAATTTTTAGTAAAAAGCAGAATCTAACAAATATTTTCTGTAGTAGACTACTCAAATAATATTAAAATACTATATAGAAAAGTATTTTTTAAAGAGAATGTTGCGCGTAAAATAATTTTTAGAATCAAACCTAGTGCTCTGATAATTAAAATAACAACCTAGGTTTCAATTTGGCAATGTGAAAACTTCTCGATATATCTTGAATTCAGGAACATCGTTTATAAATAGTATGATTTGTTTAAAGAGATTTTAATTTCTCGAAATGGCATCTAAATTTCCATTATTTTTAATAGGTGTGGATCTTGTTCAATTATTTATTGGTTCAATATCATGGAAGTAATTCTAATGACTAATAGCTTCTAGAAAGTAATAAATTACAATAATAGGAAATAAATATAGTATTTACTGACCATTTTAACATTGCATATAAAAATAGTGAGAAGAATTAGCTCAGGTGTTCTCTTTTACTTCACGGCCCTGGTTTCAATATAACAATGTTGTTTGATCACATTAATTCATTGCTGAAAATATTACTTAGAACGCATGATTTTGGCTATGAGAGAGAAATATTTGTAACATTGATATGGGGAAGTATCTGTCTTAAAAATCAATTTAAAAATGGAAGTAGAGCGTTTTTCTGACAGATATTCACCGCTTTAAACGTTGTTATGGAAACAACTATATTTTAAATTTCATAATATCACAAAATAAAAGTGTAGCACGAAGGCGTAGTTCAACAATATTTTATATGAACCTTAGTTTTCTAATGATTAATTTACATAACATAATTTTCTACAACTTCTATTACAGTATCTGACAACGTTCGGAACAGTGGTTTTTCAGAAGCGAATAAATTGATAATATTTATGATATTTAGTGTCACTTAGATTAGAAAATGTATATAAAATTGTTTTAAGCCTACTATTACAATAAAAAATATTTAAGTAAAATATTTTGACAAAAAATTAGCATAGAATGATCCATTTTCAAAATATTCTCCTTTTGCGTAAAAGACTTCTATTATAACAATATTTTGCCTGTATATAGCTCATACCTCTGTACAGAGACTCAACTAGAATTTTTGAAATATATCACTTAGAAGTGGGTTTATCCATGTTTTACGACAACAGAGGGGAGAAATTTTAAGAAAAAAACGCCGATAACTATTTCAATTGGTTGTAACTCTGAAAATAATGTGAATTTTTCAAAAGTCATACTTGAGCCTCTGTACAGAGATCTGAGCTATATACAGGCAAAACATTATTATAATAGAAGCATTTTTCACAAAAAGGAGAACATTTTGAAAAAAGATTATTCTAAGATAATTTTTTGCCAAAATATTGTATTTAAATAATTTTTGTTAAAATGTCCTTAAAACAATTTTATGCATGTATTTTAATCTAAGTGACACTAAATATCATAAAAGTTATCCATTTATGTGCTTTTTTAAAATCACGGTTTCCAACGTAGTCGCATACCTTTACATCATAAGTGAGATTGTTTATTAAAATTCCCATCACGATGATATTAAGTTTGTGTCCATCAAATC